TAGCTAGCTGGGGTGACTTGATCTTGGGAGGGGGGGTGGGCGGCGGGCACTCAGGGCACCACGGCCTGCCTGGCTAGCTGGGGGTGGGTGGGAGAGGGACCCAGCCAGGTCACAAAGTCCCCCCCCCCGTGGCTCAAGGTGCTGCCAGAAGGGAGCCTCGCCTAGTGTGCAAAAATACCTGGGTCCGGCCCTGGGCGTTACGTCACGCGGCGCCGGCTCGGCTAGGGGAGAGTGCGCGGCGGCTCCCGGTTTCTTTTTTCCGTCGGAAATGGGTCCAAGTGGCTCTTTATGTCTTAAAGGTTGCAGACCCCTGCCCTAGGTAGAAACAAAATGCCAGAATTGTGACTGAGGATTTCTGCTCCATCTTGTTGGGAAAAGTTGAAGCAAACAGTCATTATAAAAGATTCCAAGTTCACACTCTTTTTTATAAGCAGTAAAGCTTCTCCTAAAATTAGCAAATGCTAATGGGGATGACTTCACACAAGAAGCAGATATCCTAAAAAGGAACATTTTGAAAACAACAAATCCATGCTTGAAAGAAGAGGACAGTATCCATAACGTTCTTGCTGTGCTATTTGCCTATGAAGGTGCATTCCCAAATGTATACAAAGTCCTTGCAGCTGCAGTTACTTTTGGAGTCTCCACTGCTACATGCAAGTCAGCTTTCTCTTGCCTTACTCGCATTTTAAAACCACAGAGGCTGTCAATGTCCCATCTTCAGGAAAAAATGTATAGTGTTGCTAGGTTATGAGAAAACACAAATAACATCAATATGGATGCATTCACAGAAAAAAAATTGATGCACAATCATGTTGACTTCTACTGTAATTCTCCAAGTTCTGTATTGGTTAGCATCTTTGTAATAAACCTGAAACATTTTTGAATGATACACCACTTGTCCGGCAGTTCTGTACATATACATAATGGCTGCTCCACGAGCAAAAAAATGCCCCCTGTGCAAAAACTTCCTAGCCACGGGGCCTGGTGGAGGAAGAGAGAGAGAGAGAGAGAGAGAGAGAGAGATGCCTCTTGTAAGATGGCTGCCAACAAGTTCTTATAATTAAAAACTACTACTTTTTAACCAGTGTGTCGCCACCATTTAAAAGTAAATTAAAAGACTTTTTAAAAAAATCAACGAGCCTAACAAAGTTTTTGCAGGGAAGAGCGCTGCTTCACGTTATCTCCGCTGGCCGACGCGTTGCATGAACCCGATCTATGAGATCCCGACGCAGTTTTTTTTCTCTTTTTAAAGGAAACCGATACGTGCAACCTCCTCCTTTTCCTCTTCCGGCAGCCCCGTTTTTTCTTTCCCCGCCTCAAGCTTTAGGAACCATTTGTGGGATTGTCCTCCCGCTGTTCCCGGAGTGCCTCAGAGACATCTATGACAGGCTCTCACTTCCCTTCTCAACTGCGCCACTCACAACCGGGGGGTGGGGTGGCGGCAAGCCCGTTCCCTTTCCCTTCTCCCCATAACCATTGGCCGCTTGGGTTGTCACTCTGACTCTGTCGCCGTTTCTATTGGGAGGGAGGAAAGCGGAGAGAAAGCGGCGGTTGTGCAGGCCACGTCCCGCCTCCCTTCTCGCTTTCTCCCTCCCTCGACCATCCCGGCTCTCTCAAGCGACTTGCGCTGAGAGGTAAATACAAGCAGAATCTCAAAATGGCGGAGCCGCCGAGTCCCCTGCGAGGCGCGATGGTGGCGCCGCCGCTGCCGCTACCGCCGCAGCCGCCGGAGCCCTTCGCTTCCACTCTGGCGGCAGAAGTGCGGGCCTCTTCGCGGGGCTTCCAGCCAGCCGCCAAACGCATGAAGGGAGCCGAGGAGCGCGGCCTCAAGGGCCCGAAGCGCGTCAACGGCGAGGGTGGCGGTAGCAATAGGCGGCAGCCACCGCCGCCGCCTCACATCCCAGTGGCGCCAACCGCCGTCGCTCACGGCAACTCAGCCGTGTGGAGCTTTGCGGCGTTTTCCGCGGCCGCAGCCGCCGGTGGCACCAGCAGCGGCGCGGCCGGCGGGTCCTTGGTTTTCCCGCCTCAGCTGCCCCACAAGTTGCTCTTGCCGCCGCCCTCTTCCCACTCCCACCATTGCTTGGCCGCAGGCGTGGATGGAGGCGGCGGCGGCGGCAAGATTAAGCGGCCCAAGGAAAAAAGGGACAAGGATAAGAAGAAACTAGCCGGACTGCCCCTCGTGGGGGCGGCAGGAGCAGGAGGAGCAGGCGGAGGGCTGAGCGCGGCTGGTCGGGAGGAGAACGGCGAGGTGAAGCTGCTACCTCAGCAGCGGCACCACCATCACTGCCAAGAGGGTGAGCTCCTTGACACTTATTTGTGGGAGAACACTGATGGGCTTGGCGTGTGCGGGTGGGAGGGTCAGGACGGCTTCGGGTGGGGAGGAAATAATCGGAGGCGGAAAGGGGCCTGTGGAGGAGTATTGGGCGGGCGGGACGTCCTCGCCACAGTGGGGGCTCCCCGGGTAAGCAAAGGAGCAGGAAATGGTCGTTCTTTCTCCGGCAGAGTCATTCCCTGGAATGGCTGCTTGCTTGCTTCCCTGCCCTCGCGCACATGGGAGAGACACGTTGGCTTGGTAACTCCAGGTCTGCTCTCTGCGCGCACATGGTCAGTGCCTCTGGATGGGAGGGGATTGACATCTGGAAGAGGGGACCCCAGTAGGATGGTGGGGGGAGGTCCATGTGCAAGTGGTGTAGTTTAAAGCAGGGAAGGTAGCCACAGCAGTGCAGTCTGGCGGTTTCTGTTTAAAAAAAAAGTGTGTGTGTGTAGAAACGGCACTTATTGCCTTAGGTGGAAGTGGGCCTGAGGCTTTGAGACCTATTAGGGAATAGAGCGGACTTTGGTAGTTGGTAGAAGATCTGAAAAGGAAACACATTCTCCTGGTGTAGTGGAAATTAAATCTCGGGAAGGGACAAATTATAAATTGGTGGGGGGAAGGAAGGTGACTGAATATGCATGACTGGCTTTAGGTTACCCACCTATTTTGCCTAGCAGAGTGGGGATTTGAACCCATGTCTGCCAGATTCTAGTCTGACCCTCTAACCACTGTACCATACTGGCTGAGAGAGTTGTACTTTCTATTTTGAATACTTCAAACCTGCATGTTGTTGTATTATAATTATGGAAATCATGCAAGTGTATACATTTGTATACAATGTATTGTATACATTTGTATAACATACATCAACGGTGTATTCAAAATCATAACAGGATGGTTCTCTAAATACTGTTTAATGTAAACATTAGATTACAGTTTAACATTAAAAGTTCCCTAAAGTCAGTAGAATAATCGTTAATGGCTCAGTTCTGTGTTTATTGGAGAATAAGCCTCATAGATCTTATTCCTTGGATCTTATTCCCAGGGGTCATTTAGTAGAAAAAGAGGTGCAGGAGTTCATTAGCATAACTTATTTGCATATGCCACACCCCCTGACATCACCAGAAGTGTGTCAGATGGCAACACCCACCGCTCAGGCTCCACTGGAGTCTTTTGAATTGCTAGCTATTGGGGGGGGGGGAACCGTGCAGATCTGTCCTCGCAGAGGAGGGAGAGCTTGTACCTGAATAAAACTTGGTCTTAAAGGTGCCACTGGACTGTTTGGGACTGGGGGGGGGGGCTTTTGCAACTTACCTGGCTGCTTCTTACTCTGACTGAGGGCTGCTGGGAGCAGGGGGTGGGGCTTGTTGCATGTGCTCGCCCCCTGGGCTCTTTACTGCCGGAGCTCCGCTCCTGTGCGCTCCTGCAGGAAATGACCCCTGCTTATTCCCAAGGAATTGTCCTTAACATTTGCAGCCCAAATAACCTTGCTATGGGGGAGACAGTACTAGGCTTTATTTGGCACTGGTGCCACTAGGAATTCTTCCTCCTTTAGAGTAGCTCAGGCAATTTTGTCAGCCCCGCAGTACCAGTGCATTGATCTCATATGAGCATTGATGGGACATGGTAGTTACAGTCAGAAATTGGCAAGATTTGAGGTCATTTGTAAGCACAGAAAAATGAGAGGAATTGCTCAGACAAGATTGTCAGTGCAGTGGCAGTGGTGGGAGGAAGCAAGCATGCTGCGCTCTATGCACATGGGTGGCAGGGAAACCAAGAACACCAAATACACCACATGGACCATACCTCTCAAGACATACAGATAGTGCCCCCCAGGTTGCCTTCTGGAAACTTTCCCTATCCAGGTCTTTCACTTCCTGTTCTGTAAGTACAAGCAGCAGACTCTTAAAAGTGTTGGTCACATGTTTATTGGGGTATTTCCAGGAATCTGCACACAAAGTTCCAGAACAGTGTTCATTTAATATGGGACAATTTCAGAGGTGAATAAGCTGTGGTTCTTAATGTTTCAAAGCTGGTCTTAAACCCATTGATTCAGAGGGGAGCTGTGATGGACTGCACTGGTAAAAGCTTAGAGATGCTGTACAAACAAAACGACTGTGAAGGGTTAATTCTTCACAGAGCCAGAGAGCCTTGAGTGACAGGTTGTTCCATGAGATCTAATTGGTTAGCATGAACTGGATGCAGAGGAGAATTCAGTCTGATTTCAGCCAAAGGTAAAGGTTCCCTTGCTCGAAAGCCAGTCGAATCCGACTCTAGGGTTGCGGTGCTCATCTCCGTTTCAAAGCCGAAGAGCCAGCGCTGTCCAAAGACGTTTCCGTGGTCATGTGGCCGGCATGACTAAACACCAAGGTGCACGGAACGCTGTTACCTTCCCACCGAAGTGGTACCTATTTATCTACTTGCAATTTCTTGCTTTCGAACTGCTAGGTTGGCAGGAGCTGGAACTAGAGACAGGAGCTCACCCCGTCTTGCGGCACCCGGGTCTTGAACTGCTGAACTACTGACCTTCCACAGCCTGCAGTTCAGCATCTTAACCACTTGAGCCACCGCAGCTCCATGATTTCAGCCCTAGCGGAGAAGAATTGAGTCCTGACAGTTTTGGAATTCAGCCTTAGCTAAGAGCAATTTAACACAGACGGAGAACTGGAGGAAAGTTGGCAAGGAAATTTGGGAAGTAGGCAAAGACTTCCATTTGAGCCATAGAAAAGGGATAGACCTCCTAGTGAGAGGAGGATTTCCCTACCCAATCAAACAGGGAGTTAGCTCTGAAGAGTGCAGAGATCCCTGGTCTGGCCTGGTTAGAAACTGCCCGTAGAAACCTTAAGAGTGAGTAAAAAACTTGAGAGGAGTACTGGTGTTTCTAGAGAAGGTGGTTTGGGTACTGGAAAGAG